GCAAGGGTGGGGGTGGGGGAGAACGGCTACTATAGCTATTTCTCACTGTAGGCAGGTGAGCTTGATGTAAGTCCCAGGCAGGACCTGAAAATTAATTATAAAAGACACAATTTGTAAACACTTATGAAAGACTGCAAGGCTACTGGGAGCCAGCATGGGTTCACTTAGAACAAATTATTGCAGATTGAAACAGCTGGAAAATGCCACAGATGAATCATATCCAGATCTTAGCAAAGCATTTTATAATATGATCATGATATTGTTGTTAAATACCTAAGTTAAATTTGACCTCAAGTACACATTATGGTGACTCACTAGAAACTCTTCTAGGAAGTGTTACTATGATCAATGCCAATGGATGACCAGTTAGAAGATAATTCTCAGAGAGCTCTACTTCCCCTCAACCCTATAGCAAGAGTCTTTTAATTGCCAAGGATAGAGACAGTCAAATTCTTGACAAATTAGTTGTGGATATAAAACCAGAAGGTATCACTCAGATATTTGGTGACACATTTAAAATTCCAAAAGAGCCCAGTAGAATGGAAAAGCAAAATGGATCTATACATGAAATGAACAATAATATTTGTAAAAGGACTACATTTAGGTTCTACAAATAAAGGATGTGAAAAAGGGTTTAGACTTCAACTGAATGTAAAGAAATATCCAGTCAAAAATCCAGTGACAAAATATGCCACATTAGGGACAATGCTGTACCCAAGTTGCTCTGCATCTGTAAGGTTCCTCAGGTTTCTTTGCCCACAGACTGCCTTAATTCCCAAATTGTGTGACCTCCCTCTTTTTTTTTTTCTTTTAATTACCTCTTCTTCCTTTATCACTCTTGTAAATACAGGTATCCTCCATAGAATTCAGAGTTAAAATATACTACTAGTATAGGTCCTACTTAATGTGTATTATATATTTAATGTATAACTTTTAATTAAGTATACTATATAGCACATTAAATATAATATGAAATGCAACTATACACATATATATGTATATATAATATGCAATGTATATTTTAATAGAAACTGTAAATAATTGATATATTAATACCATGTAATTTTAATTTTGTTCTAATATTATATATTATTATAAATAATCTCCAATGATTTGGGAGTAATTGCAAGTGGTTAAATCCCCTACTCTGTAAGGAAGTAAGTATGAAATAGACACTAAGAAAATGGTTTTTCATGGTCCTGTCAGTGGAAAGAGGAGGAGTGAGAATGCATGCCCAGCTACTGCCCCTTTAAGAGCAGATGTGTTTTCCTGTGCAGGGGAAGAGGAGCATGCTACCATGCTGTCACCATTTATATGCTTGTTACATATCATGCTTTATGCCAGGCACTTTAAGTGTGTTATCCTGTTTAATCCTCATAACAATCTTGCTAAGTACTTCTTTTCTCGTTTGCAGATGGAAAGCCTGAAACTAAGAAAATTAAAATTGCTAGGCAATATCACACAGTTAATAAAGAGAGGAGCTCACACCTGAGTAGCTCCACCTACTCCAGGATACCTATGCCACCAGCAGAGTCTACTGGCCACTCTGCTCCAGGCTACGTACCTACCTGTAAGCCCACCATTAGAACCAGCTGCTCAGAGAGGCACCATCTCTTCTCTGTGGCTAGCAGTGCCTTTCTTGGTTATGGGCTGTGTCTTTAGTTAAATCATGAATTACTGTAAAAGCTCTAGCTGAGGAACCCATAAAGAGTGCACAAAATGTGTTCTGCTAGTGACATCCTCTGAGAAATGGTAAGGGAACTTATCCTGAATTCGAGAAAATATTGGTTCATGATACTGCAAACATCTTATAATGGCTGGGATGTCTGAGTCTTAGCAATCTGAATGGATATTCTTCATATCCTGTCAAACACAGTCCCTACCCAGCCTCCCAGCTGCCCACAGGGAAAGCAGAGCTGGCTCCATTTCAACAGTTGTCTTCACAAGTTTTCCTCAGCAACATGGGTAGTTTTTTCTATAATAACCCATGGCAATGGAAGGGGAAAAAAGCCTTATTGATTTCCAAAATGGGAAAAGAGCTTTTCTTCTATCTTAGAAAATAACAAAAGCAAGTTCTTTTGCACACAGAAAGTATCATTTTTGCACTTGAATACTCTTGAAAATTGGTACTTTGGCACAACTCTATCACTGGTACTGAGGGAATACTCCTTTGGAGACTGGTAAAACTGCTTCAGAAATAGCCTATTTGTTGCTACAGTACTGAAGTACAGAGGTTTAATTGAATAATTTCTTGTTTCTGGTTCTACCTTGTGAAGCATTGCAGAGGCTCAACTGCTGGCCTTGATCCATGAGAAACTTAGGATGTTTTGTCCTTTTACAGTGTGGGCTCTCATGTCTACAGCAGTGACAGTGCCCAAGAAAAAGGAGAAAGGCAACAAGCTCATCTTTTTGTGATGGTAAAGGATACGAGGGAAACTTGAGGAATCTTGGAAGAAAGGTTGGATTCTTCATTAGGCAAAGTAATAGATAAGAGAAGGGGGAGATTCTACTCTAAGCTTCTGTAACATAAAAGGACTGGCACATTTATATGTCACACATTTACTTACCATTATCAAACCATTAAGATCTAATGCTCCAGAGGGTGAAGCAAGAACATTTGCCCAATGATATTTTTTTAAAAAATAGGAAAGTATAGGCATTTTAACTTCTGCATATGGTATTGCCTTTGGTCATGAACATATTGGCTGCATATCCAAACCTGATTAATTAGTAGGAGTTTTGTGTAGGTTCATGTATATTTCACAAAATATAGAAATGTAATTTTTCAAAGAAATTGTTTTAGGTCGTTCAAAAGTAAAAAAGCCCATGCAGTCAAAGAGTTTAAATTGTTTCTTCTTCATGTGACAACAAAATCTTTTACTTAGATATATTCATGTACATATTTTTTCTTGGGACATTTGGCCTTTTCCTTGAAAAGGAAGGAAGACTTTCCAATGCAAGTATTTTCTTAAGGATTCAGTGAGCAAAATTGACAACAGGAGGTGGGTTATCTGAAGATAGCACCTCTATGTAATGGACTAAGCTGTAGGCCTGAAAGATGACACTAAGAAAAATATTTAATGTCAGGCCATTTCATGACATCCCAAGTGAAAATGTGGAAAAAAATATTCTCATAGTGTTCTATGATCCTACTTTTCTAACATACACACATGTACACACACACACACACACACACACACACACACACTTTTCTAACATGGTGAAAGAGCATATATTTAAGACCAGTGAAACCTAAGTTTAAGTCAGATCTGTGTACTATATGACTTCAGTCAAGTTACACTCTCTGAGCCTCTACTTCCACCTCTATAAAATACAAACACAAATATGTTTCAAGAGTCATTGTGTCTATCCAATCTCTTCTCAACACGGCCATACTGCTCCTTCTAAAGTATATGTCAGATTGAGTCACTCTGCTCCAAACCCTTCAATGGTTCTCCCCCTAGCTCATCTTACTCAAAGTTCAGCTTCTCTACAGTGTTCCATAATGACCTGCCCCTCCACTCTTGGTCACTCTATGACCTTGCCTCCTAGGTGTTCCTCTGTTCAGCTCAGGGCTCCAGCCACAGGTCTTCTGACCTTCCTGAACCACACAGGGCACCCACTCACCTCAGGGCCTCTGCACACACTTCTCATCTCCGGGGAATTTCCAGTCAAATATCTGAATGACTTTCTCCCTGATTTCCTTAGGGTTTTGCTCAAACATCACTTCCTCGGGGAAGGCTTCCCCGACCTCCTTGTTGGTGAAGCTGTCTGAGGGCTACCATTTTAAGCATCAGAATCAGGGCTGTTATGGTTTAGATGTGAGGTATTCTCCAAAAGATCATGCACGAGACAATGCAAGAAAGTTTAGAGGTAAAATGATTGGGTTATGAAAGTTTTAACCTAATCAGTGCATTACTCCCCTGATAGGATTACTTGGATGGTAATGGTAGGTAGGTAGGGTGCTACTGTAGGAGGTAGGTCACTGGGGATATGCCTTAGAGATACATATTTAGTCCCTCTTGAGTAGAGCTCTCTGCTTGCTTCCTGGTGTGATGTCCTAAGCCATTTTTTCCTGCCACACTCTTCCACCATTAAGTTCTGCCTCACCTTGAATTCCAAGGAATGGAGCTGGCCTTCTGTGGATTGAGACCTCTGAAAATGAGAGCCCTAAAATAAACTTTCTCTCCTCTATGTGTTCTTGTCAGATCTTTGGGACACCGTGGAGAAAAATCAGACTAAAACTAGAACTTCCCACTCATCCTTTAGATCTCGATGCTATTGTTTCTTCCTTAGAAAAATCATTGCCGAATAGATCAGATTCTCCTGTTGGAACTGCTCATATCTCCACGTGCATCTCCATCAGTGCACTTACCACAGTGGTGGTGATTTTGCCTGTGTTGTTGAATAAGATCGTCTTTCTCCCCAGACTATGACCATAGTGAAAATACAGTTTTTTTGCACACCATCCTATTCTCAGCAAGGCAAATAGTGACTGGTACTTAGTAGGTGCTCAGTATGAGCTTTTCAAAGGAGTGACTGTACTGACTTCACATGCAGAAGCTGGGGAAGAAAAAAGACTCATGGTCTTGGACCAGGGATCCCAGCCCCCTTTCAGTTGTGTCTCAACAGACAGTTGCTGTGCCAGGAAAGGATAAGTCCTGAAGATCAGTTCCAGTGTAACATCCAGTGCCAAAACTGTGTCCTGGCATTGAGAATGGGAGATGGAAAAGAAGATGGGGATCAACACCTGAGATTAAGTACAAGGGGGAGGACCCACACTAGAGAGAATCAGGATGATTATACAAAATGTACTTTGTAATAAAGAGTTTAAAGTTGTCTGTCAAAGGTTATTCGCACTCTGGAAAAATTCTTGTCAATTTAATGTAAGTGGAAATACAGGATCTACAACTATGATTCACACTATTGATTGCCATTGTATAGAAATTGCACAAGAAGAAAAAAATTAGGATGACACAAAATAAAATGCTATTCAGAGGTGAGAACATGAGTGGTACATTTATTTCCTTTTTTTAGACCTTTTGAATAATATACAATTAACATGATTCACTGTTAAAATCAGAAAAACATTAGAATGTAATGGACACCTCTTGTCTTTATTTTCTCTAACCACTCATCTTTCAGACTGCTGATCCTCCATTTCCCTGTACAGAACCAAGCATTCTTCCTCCTTATCTCAGGATGTTCTTTGGATGTTTACCCCCGCCATGGTGTCGTGCTAGGAATGTGACCATGATCTACCTAGAACCAAAGCAATGCATGGAGGTGGTGCTGGAAGGCTTGGGCAGAGTGGAAGTGTGCTCCTGTTGGACCTGAGCTTGGGTGGGGCAGGGCTGTGTTCCCACTGGACTTGAGCTGAGAGACTTCACGTCTGGAAGCTGTTTCCTTTTTTGTGAGCCAGAGGGAAGAGGCTGCTCGAGGATTAGTCACACATGACGGGAAAGAAAAGCCGAGAGGTAGAGGGAAGCAGAGTCCTTCTCACATCTTCTGAGCCTCTGAAGAAGTTCAGATAGTAAACAATCATATCCCCAATCGACTTCTTAGTTACATGAACTATCAAATCTATTGTGTTTATTCAGTTTGGTTTGGGTTTCTGAAACCAGCAAAGTCATGAGTGATGTGCAAAAATGACCTTGTTTTGTCCTTGTGCATGGGTGTCGACGGCAGGATGGGATGTGTATAGGATGAGTTGGCCTTTACAATTGCTATGGCTCTGACTACTACATACATAGGGCCTTCTAGGGAATCTTCATGGTTCTGAGAGATGGTGAATTAGTCTGAAAACAGTTCTCAAAAGGCCAATGTTACAGCATCCTATATCCATCACTGTAGTTTCCCCTGAATCAACAAACTGAAAGCTGTGTTTTCCCCAAACATAATTTTCACAAATATTATTATCTTTTTATTTTGTAATGAGAAAATTCCCATATTTTTTGGCTAATGTGAATATCGAAATAACTGAGAAATCTTGATAAAACAGCTACCTTCTACTTAACAGCATATGATCTGTTCATTTAGATTGACATGCATACTTTAAATCGCATAAAGTCTACATAGTATGTTAACTTAGAAATATTTTCCCATGCTTAACTTTTAACAACTAACCTCATCTTCTTCGCATGTCCTTTTTATCATTCACGTCTTCACCAGCTATTTCTCAGTCATGCCTAAAATAGTTTTTCAGAGCATCTTACCTAATACTGTTGAGATGCAGCCATTTTGAATCCATGAGTACCTCAGACCAAAAGTAGTTATTTCCCATAGAATCATGGTATTTTCATTTTCATATTTTCTTCATAGACATAGAACTAGTGTCTTCAAAACATAACCATGTTCAATAAAATCATCATTAAAAGGTTTGTTTACAATGACCTCAAATATCTTGTAATCTTGAGATTATATCTTTAGAAATAATTACTAACTTTATGATAATTCTTTTAGCATTAAAAATAACTAATTATGTTAGTGACCTGTGTAAACATACTTAACTGTTATTGATTGAGATCAGTTCAGAGGCTTTTTCTTTTCCCCTTTTAAGAAGTGCTCTATAATATTTTCCAATGTAGGATAAGAGATAACTCTCTTGGGGGTAAAAAATCTTCGCTTGGAGTGTATGTACTGTTTGGGGTATGAGCATGAACAACTGAAAGACAAACTGTTCCTAAATGCACAACGCTTTTGACACCAGAGTTGTGTGGTTTCCAAATACCAAGCATTTCTTCAGTTCTCCATGAATACCTACCTGGAGTCCTATAATACAGTCCTGGCATTAACTACCCAGAGTTAGTACAGATCCCACAGGTTCAGGGCTCAGTCCCCCAAAACTGTCGTGATCTGCTGCTAGTCTCAAGTAGCAGGTATTCAGGTTATAACTCATAGCTCTGTCTGACTTGACTATAAAAATTGTACATTCCACAACCTCTCCTTCATGTTTGATTATTTGCTCTCGAGACACACAATACTCAGGGGAATGCTTTTCTTACATTTTTCAGTTTTCTGTAAGGGATATTATCAATAGTCAGATAAAAACATATACAGGGCAAAGTCTGGAAATCTGCTGTCCTGATGGAGTTGGGGTACACCACCCTCCACACACATGGATGATCTCAGCAACCCCAAAACTCTCCAAACTTTATGCAGGTTCCATTATGCTGGCGTAAAGAACTAAACCATTGGTCACTGACAAGGGAACTCAGTCTCCAGACCCTCCCTGGAAGTGGCGGGTATGGGAAGGGAGAGAAGGGGATGAAATTGCCAGCCCTCCAATCACATGGCTATTTCCTCTGATGACTAACCCCCTGACTGAAGCTTTCTAGGGACCCCAGCCACCATTCATCCTATGAACATACAAAAAGACTCTCATTTTCCTGCATATTCTACAAGCTCTTGCGTCAGGAAAAAAAAAAATTATGCCAAAAGATGTTTCTGGTACCACTATCACTCAGGAAAGTACAAGGGTTTTAAGAATTCTGTGTCAGGAACAGGGAGCTGAGACCCAGTATCTATTTCTTATTATGTCACAACAGGTAGGATACACCCCAGCCCTTGCTGAACTCACTGTCTAGAAAGCCAAACAAATGGACAGAGAGACAAGTGCAATTCAGTGCCACAAGTGCTGAGACCTGTGGAGTACAGGACATTGGGGGAGGGGGCACCACGGTGATGACGACAACAACGATGACAACATCGAAGAAGAGTGTTTCTTCCGGATTCCAGAAGGTCCAGAAAGACTGAGGAAGGAATATACAGGTGGCCCCTAATAAAGAGTAAAAACAAAGAAAGAGCAATGTGTGTGGCCATAGAGGCAGCGTGGGGTGCCCCTGGGAGGAAAGGGTGGGATGTCCAGGCAGGAGACTAGCAGTAGCAACAGCAGAGGTGAAAGGAAGACTGTCTCATCCTTCTAAAAAATCAGTTGGTTTCATTTTTCCTTTGTTCGTTTACTTTTTTTTTTTTTAATTTCACTGTGCTGAGAACTAGTGAAGACACTATTAGAAAAACAAATTCCTGGATTTTGAAAGCTCTAGGGTCCAAGACAATATAGCATTTCCCTGCCAGATGGGCAAATACTAGAAATAACCAGCGTTCATATCAAAGGCCAAATTCATGGTCATTTGAAAAGTGCATGAATTTCCCAGAAGCAAATTCATTTTAAAGAGCCATATTAGTCAAGCTTTCCCTGTCCCTGCTGTAGGCAAATCACCTCCATTGAGAGGTGTCCCCAATACTGGGGACACATCTGCTTAATGAGAGCTGAGATGTACTTCCTAAGCTGGCACCTGCATTCAAAAATATATTTTGAGCTTTTACTGTGGGTGAGCATAGTGCTAAGTGGTATGTATGTATGACACAAGATTGAACCCATCACCAGTTCCTGCTAGTTGATGAAAAGTTTAGTCTGGGAAGTGAAAGAGGCTTCTACATTAGGACTAACTTCAGTACCAAACACTCATGGATGGTATATCATGGTGTGCTCTCTCGGATCCTCTTCTAATTGTTTCTTAGAGCTATGAGACTTTAACATGTAAATAACACATACATGTGTAGAGGCAGAGGAAGGCCTCCCCTTAAGGCGTATTACCATGAAATAATTTTCAGAATTTGGCAAATCAAATGGGAGTTAAGAATGTAAAATATAGGGCAGGAGTTGTAGCTCAGTGGTAGAATGCTTACCTCCCATGTGTGAGCCACTGGGTTCAATCCTCAGCACCACATAAAAATAAAGAAAATAAAGATATTGTGTCCATCTACAACTCAAAAAATAAAAATATAGATAAGATTAGCAGTTGAACTTCCTAGATGCAAAACCTCTGGCTTCCAGCTCTTCATATCCTCTCTATTAGGACAGAATTAGACCCAGAGTTGGGGGCAGATCAGACTTTCAAGTTTTTCTTAATTGGTTATGACTCTTAAGGCTGGAGAGTTACAGACACTCAAAATGAACAAAATATTATGAAAACTCAAGGATTGGTGAACAATATCCTTGAAACAGATGTGAACTGAGGTGGAAGAAGGGAAGCTGGGCAGGCAGTAAAGACCTGGGATTGTGTCACTTTTGACTTTGGGCAAGGTCATTTATAAAATTACGGAGCTGACCTGGTTGGTAATTCCAGAACTGGTTTGTATATCAGAGTCATCAGGGATGTTTATTAAAAATGTAGATGTGCAGGCTCTATCCCATACCTGCCAAATCATTACCTCATTGGGGTGATAAGCATCTACACTGTTAACACTTCCAAATAATTTTATAAAGGAAGTTTACTACAAGTGTCACTGATGAAATCTCAAAATCAAGTGATCGCTAGGGTTCACTACAATTCTAAATTCTTCTGATTTTGTAATCAAACATGATTTTAAAATAAGTGTGCCCTAACTGGAGGCTTAGTAAGGAATAGCCTATTGATTGATCAAAAGTACCTGAGTTGGTAAATCTGTTCTAAATTATATATAAGATAGTGAAGTTACACTATGCCTAAAATTGACCTTGACTCTCACAACTAGATGAATAAATGCCTCAGGGAGCCAGATATTGTTCTTGTTCCCTTTATGTAGCTCCCAGGTTTGAATCTTGCAAAAAGTCTTTGCTAATGTTTTTTAGATGCACCAATTACCCTGCGAAGAGTGTATCTACTGTTGGCTAATTAAGGTGCTATTTACCAGTTGAATAGGAAATGTCATTATGTACTTGCTTCACTGGCACAAGATCTTAATCAGACCTTCACTGAAGCATTTCAAGGCACTGGCATTAGAAGCTTTGAGCTTCTCTGGTGAAAAATCCCAAAGGAAGTAATGTAAGACCATAAAGCGGTAAGATGCCTTACCTAAAATGAAGAAATTTCACAATAAATGAAAAAAACTTAGAAAAATTTGCAGAATCTCAAACTTATGATGAAAAACAATCAAGAAAATATTGTGCAAAATGCACACTAAAACAAATTAGCTTCCCCATGTTAATACTGAAACCCACCAACACATTACCTTAGTATTATCAGGCTTGTACATTTTTCTGTAGACTTTAGAATAAAGATTCTTGTGCTTTATTATATATTTGAACTCTTGAATGTGTTACTGATTATGGACACATGAGATTTTAAACTTTGCATGTTCAACTGGCTAAATTAGGCAATCTAGAAAACTGCTATCCTATCAGGTGCTGTGCCCTATGAGATGTCAGTCAAGGCTCAGGGTATACATGCATCACAATGTAGTGGTCTGTTGTACCAAACCAGAGAACATTCAGCCTAGCCTCAGTGAATAGATACTTCTGATCCATATTTCCAAGTTAGCATGTTCACTCTGGAAGCTCACCATAGGAGATAGAGCATAGGTCTTCTTCTTGGGTTGCCCTCCAAATGGGAAATCTCCTTATCATTATATTGGAGATCCATTCAAGACTTCCTCAAGGAAAAAGATTACTACAATAATATTTTGAAAACCACTGTTCTAAATGTAATTAGATGTTTTTAGAAATTATTATTTGACATTACTTTCAGAGACAAAAATGTCAAAAATATAAACTACAGAAGACAATAATAAGTTTCAGTATTTTGAACCTTATTTCACTTACCTGACTTTTTGAAGGGGAGGAGAATATATATGGTCTAACCTGAAGTATGATGAATAAGAGCCTTCAAAAATATTAAAAATAATATGTTGCTGACTCAAATGGAATCTCTGAAATAATTTTAAAATGCTTCTGGATGATGGCAATGCAGCAAAAATAAATCCCATGTGGCAATTATTTTATTAAAAAATGTAATGTTGTGGAAAGTACACAGTTTTTTCTTCTCAGGATCCATATTGAAGTAATGGTTTGTGAGCTCATTGGATTATCTTAAACAATTACTCAATTTCTTTGGATTTGATTTTCCTTTAGATTTTGCTGAAAGGACTAAATACAGTAGTATATATGAAGAGGCATTATAATTTGGTGTTCTTTGAAAAATCCCGGTGTTGTTAAAAATTCAAGGTACATGGGAATATGTCAATAATAGAATATTTGATGAAAATAATCTATCAACTTTTTGATAGTTACATTAAATAGATTGAGTGTGTTCTCCCCCACCCCATGACCATGTTCCTTTTAAGAACACAAAATGTATTTTAACTAAGAAGTTCCCTTGTATGTTGGGGCAGAGAGGAGTAGGTGACAGGAGAGAAGGGAGGTTCAGATCAAGTACAAGCTAGCTGCAGGAAGTAATGTCCAAGGGCACACACTTTAGGAAAAAATATCACATTTTATTTGATTACGAAAGTCCCAAGGTTTTCATTCACATGTTCTGCAACACGGGGCTTCAGATGGCTAATTCTCGAACAATTTTAAATATTCAGAGCCTGAAATTTGAACCCATTTTTGGAAGGGGAGGAAGCCCTCCCCTTAAGGTGTATTACCATGAAATCATTCTGATGAGCCCTGCAATAAATGTGGCTCACACACTAAGTACTGGAGACCCTTCTATCTAGCTATGACAGGGAGATTGTTGTATGTGCCCACGAGGAGAATGAGGTCTGCCACTCAGGCAGGGCCTGTGGCTGCTGCTGTGTAAGACTTAGCCTGCTTGTGGGGCTGTGTCTTTCTGTGAGGGCTCTGGGTAGAAACTTTTGTTCTTCTCCTGTGCTAAGGGAATGGTTCTCAAATGCATGCAACCTTATTCCCCAGGAGGCATTGCCCAAAGTTTGAGGATGTTTTTTGTTTTTTTGGCTATTGGCATCCCGGGGCCAGAGGTGTGGCTAACTATCCTGCAGTGCACACAGCAGCCTCCTGAGAGCAATGAGTTATCTGGCTCAAAATGTCAGTTGTGCTGAGGTTGAGAAACTCCATTTTAAAAGATACTTATGTGTATGTTGCCTTTGGGACACTAGAATAAAGTAACTATGGCCTCTAGAGTTGAGTCAGGCTCCAGTGGAAAATCCTCTCAAGTGTATCAGAACCCAGACCAATGTATCCTCTCCATCATCCCCTGCCTGCTTGACCTTGGAGACATCAGTTCACCTGCAGGGCACCTGCTTCTCCATTGGAGAAGCAAAGGTCTGGGATTAACTGGGTGAATTGAAAAAAGTGTGCTTCTATTTTACAGTATTCTATGAAGGTACCTCTATGGAGAGTACTGTCCCTGGGTGCCTGATCCTACAGGTTAGGAACTATAGGCCAGCCAGCTTAGTGCAGCTTAGCACAGGTTAGGTATCATTAAAGTGCTTTACATGTAATAACTCATTCAACCCACAGGATATCATAAGAGAGGGACAATTATTTTCCTTCATTTACAATCTGAGAAGATGTTTGCCTGCCTTGTAGGCAGCAGAGCCAGGTATTAGAGAACCTGCATAAATAACTGACTTGAGCTCGTCCTGCCAGGAGATGGAGAATCCAGGAAGGGATGAGGGTGGATCATAGGACAATAACACCTTTCCCCTGCTTAACTCAGCAAAATGCTGCTTTTCTCTATTTTTTTTTCCCAAAATTGTATAGGGGTGAGTGTGTGTGTGTGTGTGTGTGTGTGTGTGAGTGAGTGTGTGTGTGAATGTGTGTGTGTGTGTGGCACAAATAAAACTTTTTGGAGCTATACTTTGAAAACCACTATATCTGTCATTTCTGAGCTTTTTTTTACATCTTGAGCATTTATTATTTCAATCTTTCAAAATAGTTAACCCAAAATAAAATCTGTCTGAAAGCATGAATAATGAAAATAATGATAATTATCTATTAAAATAGCAATAAAGCTAACTAGATGTTATTATGTTCTCATTAATAAGAATCATCTTGGATTTGAAAGGACTTTTCCTTGAAAAAGTTTAAAGCATGTAAACAACTGAAGAGCAGCCCATTGTGAAAAAAAATACAAGTTTATACAACTGTTATATCTCTAAGTATCTGTGTTTCAAATGGCATCCTTGCAATATAGATTCACTACAATGTTCTTTTAAATATCAAGTTCCCTTAGTGCATTTTAAATTGATTCAATTTACAAAAATTCAATGTATACTTGACTTTTCAGAAGCTCTTCTAGGGCATACAATGAAATACACCTGCAAGAGCTCATTTATCCTTCCAATATCCCAATTTCTTCAGAGGCATTATTTTCCACATGTTTGAGATAAACATAGAAAGATAATACAGCATCTTTTGTAAGCAGAGAACTAAATGAATGCTATTTGATGAAAATGATTCACAGTAATGATGATGATCACAATGATGACAATGGTAAACGTGAATTGTCCATGGTCCTAGAATTAGAGGCAATAACTTTTCATTTGCAGAATAGAGCTCTTTTTCATTATAATCAGCTACCATCATGGTAGCTGAGTATTATAAATGGTGTATCCCTTTCCAATCTTCACCACATAATATCAAGACCTCACCATCAATGAGAAATGATCATATTAATGCATTCAAAAATTAAGTATCATAATCCTACCATGATTTACTGTAGCAGTCTCTGCTGGATATTTGCTCCATAGCTTTTTTTTTGTCACTTCTCTCTTCCCTGTTGGCAGAGCCTACCTTCACCAAAGGGGCTGACAGAGGAAGGTATTTGCCTCCCCTCATTCCCCTGAAGCCAGAGCACAGGCAAAAGATAATACATCAAGAACAACTGGCTTCAGCTTCTGGAAATGAAATTTTCCCCTATTTCCTTTAGATGTAGTTGTTTAAAGGTAGAAAGCCTGGGCTACAGCCCTCCTGCAAAAATAGTAGATGAGTCTAATAATGAAATACCACATCACTGAGGAGTGTAGACAAGAAAGACCTTAAAACTCCCAGGTGACCAAAAGCTTTGTAAAAAGTAGAGACAGATGCAAAAAATAGAATTAAATAAAGATCTTTAGTTAACTTAGCATTATTATAAATACAAAGTTAATGTATGATAAGTGAATGTCACAGCAAAACAGAGGAAAATTATATATTGCATCTATTCCTTTAAAACAATTATCTCCCCAAAATATTACCAGCTCCTTTTATTGGTCAATGAGGAAAAAAAAATGACAAAATTAAAGCAAACTAAAGCACTTATAGCTATTTTTTTTTCCAGTGGACTGGTCAATAGTCAACATATTAAACAGGCAGAATTGGAAAGCCAGCATTACATTCTTACACCAACTTTGCCATCTTTGATCATGTGACACTATGTCATCTGCACAGACTCATTTTCCAAATGTCCATCCTTAGCTCCAACACGAACACTTCTAAAAGTGATCTTGCCTCTGAAATGCT